ATAATGTCCCAGAAATAGTCATTTCCAATAAGAATGGACGGTTTGCAGACAGAAATGGTAACATTATCGGTTGATCCTTCCGGGATGTGAATGCGCTGAAGGTTTCCAGTAAGTAACGGTATAGATTTCAGCTGCAGGTGTTTCACTCCCTTTCAGTGTACAGGCCGATTACGTGGTTTCGGCACTCCACTTCCAGTGATTCGACTTTCCCAAAAGTGGAAAGGCTGATATGTTTGGTTTCTGTAGTAGGCAAATAAAGTATGGTAGCAACCTCGTCAGTGATGTATGACTTTTTGGAGCCACTGTCCAAGAAGGCTGTCACAGTGACTTGATGCAAGCGATCATTTGGATTGAAGAGTGTTACAGTTGTGCACATCAGTGCGGTCTGAGTCGTTAGGTTCTAGTTGTTGGTTGAGCAAGTAACAGGAGCTTGTATTGAAGGAACATCGATCCGTGAGTCACTTAGTTGTTTATTCGGAGCAGTAGAGGAAGTAACCATCTCTTCCTTGCGCTCTTCTGAGTACAATGTGTGATTCTGCAACCTCGATGATCGATTTGAAGAGGATATCATATTTTGGCGGCTTGTCGATTGCGTGGGAGAGTGATCGTTGAAACTAGGTGATGTAGAATCTGAGAGCGATTCGATTGAAAACACACTGATGAATGGTGTTTTCTTGAGCAAAATATGCAGCGGGCAGCGGAATTTTGAAGGGCGATATTTTGTGCTGTGACAAGTCGAAAAACAATTGAAACAAAATTTCCGGCGTTTTACTTGATCGATACGCTCTTTCGCTGTGGGGAAGGCATCGCACTCTACTGCTCAGTGAGCGGTAGAGTCACAGAATAGGCACTTACGGTATTTTTTCCTTTCACCTGGAACCTTGCGCGGCCGAGATGTTTTCTGAGTGATACATAAAATCCTTGATTTGGATTTCTTAGCAGGAGAACGTGCGTGATACTCCATTTCGAACAACGTGGAGCCTTTTCAAACATGTCTGTCAGTAACTGGAGTAATTCCGAAGGGGAGACGTTGTGGTCATTTGCAGTGCGGTCATATACTAGATCACTCGCAGAGGAAGTTTATTGAAAAGCAGTGCTCCAAGGGCAGTTTCAGAGGAATCATCATGGTTGCTCGCAAACTGCCGGACGAGGGAAAACATTTGATTGTATAGGATGGGTAAATGGCGTCTCTCAAGGTCGCAAGCTGGTAGCTGCGCCAGTTTGGTGAAAAGGATATGCCGGACGGCTACCTGGTCGTAAAGTGTTTTCAGTATGTCCATGGCGACGTGGTAGTTTTCGGCGGTCATCGAAAGTCCTTGGATGGAATGTAACGCTCTTCCGCGCAGACATGACTTCAAAAGTGAGAATTTTGTGGTATCGTCAAGTTGAATCTTGTTGGCGACGAGTGTTGCAAATCGAGCATTCGGGATAGTCCAGCAAATTGTCATCGAAGATTGGCAGATCCATTTTTGTAAGTATTGAAGCATCTATAAAATTGTTCAAAGATGCATCTGGTGCAAATGCTGTTGTTTGAGTAAAGCGTCGTCCTTGATTTCTGAGGCTTTCACTGTGATTGTCATCGTCGTCCGCAAGTGTCCCATCAGATTCGGAAGGTGGATGAAGTTCTCGTTTTACGTATTCTGCGCCGAGAACATTCAAGATAGCATCAAACTGTTCGAGGTTGTTGACAGCGAGAGCAATATCTGTACGATAGTCTCCATACTTCGTAACGTAATCTTCAAAGGCCTTTTGCTCAAGTGGGTTGGAGCCTTGAAGTGTTGTCCAGTCATCGTGGAGCTTGACAGTTTTATTGTAAGCCTTCAACAAGTTTGCTTTCGTAGATGCGAGTTCAAAGCGGAAAGACTTCAAATTTTCATTGTTCAAATGGCTGAGACTAGGTTCAGATGATTCGATTCGCTATTCCTTGAAGATATCAGCAGCTGCTAAACAGTATCGTTGCAGCTGTCTTTTGAAAAATCCAATTTGTCTTCGAAAAACTACGCTGTCAGAAATTGGCATCTCTAGGGGCGGGCTGAGTTCTTCTCAGGATTCGTGTTTATGACTGGCGGTTGCCGGTGGAGTGGTTGGCGTCTTGGATTCTGTCGATTGTGATTTTGGATTTCGAGTTAGATCGGAAGAGTGCAGCAGCACATGAAGAGTTAGCGCAATGGGAACCGACGGTGGCCCTTTCTGAGTCGTCGTCTTTGTGGTGAGAGAGGTGCAACCGCACAAACGATGGAGCTGGGGTGGCAGTTGTGAATCCTGCCGTGGTCGCCAGTTGAGGTGAATAGGTGACGATGACAAACTAAGAGCGTTTACTGCATAGGATGACAAGCGAAGCAATAAATTTTCACTTGGCTTATATACCATACGACTCTCTTGCAATTGAACGATATTTCGTTGAGCGATATGAAACATGCAGATGAAAACCGAAGAATTTAATGAGTAGGCTGATGAAAGCCGAAGAATGTAATGAGTTGGCTATGATTCGTGATAATGTATTCAAGACAAAAATATTTGGATCGAATGACATTAGCACGATGACATGAATCACTGATATTTTTGTAGCTCTACAGAAATCTCTCTCGGGAGCGAAACGTGTACTCTCTGATCATTCCCTGGCCTTGATTAGGCCTCGAAGCCGCGCCTACCAGCCGCTAATTCCGTTTAATTAAAAGTTGTGTATCTGCCCAGAACAAGCATGCGGTCAGCCACAACCTCTGAACATCCACTTTGAAAACGCGCTTTGGTCGAAACCATTGAATGAAGATGGTATGGAGAAATTAAAGATGATACCAGTTTCCGTTTTACATGCGTCATAGGAATGTAATTTTGAAAAGACTTGTGATGAGGTGATCATGTTATAAGATCCATTACTGAACCCTAAGGCAATTTTTTCATCTGCAGTATGCACTAGCATTGCTAATGCCTCCATTTTATTAGATTACACGCGATAAAAGGCATTTTTCAATTGGATAAACTGAATTGTAAAGAAGTGCATGGAAGCCGCAATTCAAAATGGTCGAATGTTTGTATTCGAATAATTTATCCGAAATATTCGACTGTTCGAACATTCGAGTAGGTATTATTAGATTATTCGAATAGTCGAATAAATGATAAAAGTCTTTATTCGAATGATTCGTTCATTCGACGACACGAAAAAATGACGTATTCGAATATTCATATACTGTATTCGAATATTGTATTCGAATAATTCGTTCATTCGACGACACGAAAAAATGACGTATTCGAATATTCAAATAATGTATTCAGATATTCGAATATTGCATTCGAAAATAGCCAAATATTCAATCAAGACGGTCAACAAATATGCGAAAGTTCAAATTTTGGAATGTGCCCATATTCGATTTCGAATAATATGAAAATCGAACATCGAATAATATCCGTTCAATCAAAAATTCTTCGAAAATCAGTTATCCGATATTCAATCGTTCGAAAAATGTTCAAAAATCGATTATTCGATATTCGCTCATTTGACGGAAATTTCATTCGTTACAACCATAGTGCATAGCACAGTAGTTCTTTTTTTGCTGGTTCATTCCCTCTTTTTGAATACATTTCAACGTGGTTACTGCATACTTCAGTCTACACGACATATTTGGGTTCACGCAATTTCTGCCAGCAACGAGTTTATGCTCTAAGATTTGATCGAACTATCACATTTATGTTTTCTAGATTATACGCCTTAAGGCATAGAATTGCATGTCTTTGACAATGATATATTAGGTGGGTGCGAAAGTTTTGTCGGTTTCTTCAATCCATCAGCAAACACGCTAGAATGAAGATGAACAAACACTTCAAAGTGTATCCGATGCAGAATTTCTTCCTCTTTCTAGCTGCTATACTTCCACTGTGTTTCGTTGCGAAAGTGACGAGATATTTGCTGGAAATTACAACCACTCGTTTTTACCATGTGCAGCTTTCGCTGATTTTCAAAATTTTTGTATGAGACTTTCGGAGGAGCCCCAATAAGCAGCAGATAGTGCAAACCTTTTACCAACTTACGCAATTTTTTTCTTTTTTTCAGCTTTTTCAGATTTTTGCTGAATAATTTTCTAAAAGTCTTGCGTTTTGGCAAGATAGCATAACCTGTGACCGCAGCAAACACTGCAAAGCATACAGAAAACTGAGGTTTCAACGCATGAATATTACTATCGCTACCATTCCAAAGTAAATGAGCGATTTTTGCTTCAAATTATGAAGATTTTGAAACGTAGGTTATGTCAGTGCGCACTCCTGAAATTGAGAAATATTGCGATTTTCCCCACAAATTTCGCCTGTCTCGGCGATAAAAGACAAGAGTTAGAAAGAGGAGAAAAATCTGCATTGAATGGTGACTTGAGTGTTTAACACTTTATGTTCTGCGAGGTTAAAATAGGCTGAATGTAAAATTTGGTCACTTCAAAAAATGAATCGTAGAAATTCTGAAAGACAAGCCGTAGGGCTACAAAAAATTGCTTCTGTTGGCAAAAGGTTTGTCCTATCTGCAGGTTATTAGGCTCCTTCGAAAGTCTCATACAAAAATTTTGAAAATTACCGAAAGTTGGACATGGTAAATACGAGTGGTTGTAATTTCCAGCAAATATCTCATCACTCTCGCAACGAAACACAATGAGAGTTTAACAGCTGGAAAAAGGAAGAAATTCTGCATCGGGTAGTTCTTACAGCGTTTGTTTATCTTCATTCTAGCGTATTTGCCGATGGATTGAAAAAACCGACAAAACTTTTGGACCCACCTAATATAAGCAAATTTTACTGTGAATTGAGATTCAACTCTTTCTCTCTCTTCCCCCCCCCCCCCCCCCACCCGCCTCCTCTCTTCGCTCTCAAGCTGTTGCTAGGAATGCGCATCAAAAAGTCGAAGATGGTTCACAAACCACCAAAATTGTTTGGAACGTCATCGATGACTTTCATTTGTTTTCCTCCATTCCTTGGAGAGATACCACAACATACTAGCAAGAAATTTTAAGCCTATGTATGTTCCTGTAATGAGTTGTCACATCATGGTCATATATAAAAAGATCCTATAGAATGATTCTCCTGCTGTTCTGATACTCCTAACAGTGTAAGTTACGACGATGCGATTACAGTTTACCTGTGCTGATAACTTTTATCTTTTATCCTTCAGATTGCAAATTCATTTCGAGCGTATGGCAAAGTTTGGAATTTCAATCTTCCTGCACTCTTTTAACCGTAATAAACTTGGATATATTCTTGCTTCCTCAGTCACATGGCACATCTTTTTATTTTTGAGTAAAGAGATAATTTAGACCGATTAACCCATCTGGTTGTGCGAGAATTTTGGGATGAATACTTTTGGCTGCCACAAAATACATCATGGAGTGATATGACGAACACGAATAATATTAGTTATCCACAAGTAGCTGACCTTCGATACACTGTAATTTTTGGTTTTGCTTTACTGGTGAGTTCCGCTTACTTTGTGAGACCACGTTACAACTTAAGTATCAGATCGTACGAATACTCCTGGAATCGTTTGCCTTCCTGCCCTTGGGCTGGATAGCTGGGTTTATTTCTTCTCCTCTTTTACCTCGAATATGGAAGCATGTTTCTGGTAAGAAGTACTTGTTTATAAATACCTTTTCCACTATAAGCATCAGGTGGAAAACCAGATTGTGGTACTCTCCTATTTCTCTTCTTTAGTCTGAAAAGACCCTACAGTATAAAACAGAGTGCTGAGCAAAACATTAAATTGTCTTTCACCCTTTATTAAGAAGGCCGAGATGTAGTAAGTCTGATGATAGACATGGGCAATTTAAACAGCAATCAGCTCTTCCTCTAAGTATAATTTTGATTAGTTCTAGCCAAAACTGCAATTAAGGTGGATTTGCTGGAAAAAGTAAATTCAAAAAGGTTGCTGAATGTGCTTGGCGTCTCAGCTTCTATGTCTGCGCTTGGACAGCAGGGTATTTCCCTTGGTAATTAGTTACAAGTGTCCACTGCACATTATTTTCAGTTTGATGATACTGATGGAGGAGCCGCAATTGAAGGACATATCTGAATGTTGGAGAGGCTGGCCTCACCATAACATAACGATAGCAGTTTGGTGGTATTATATCTTAGAAGCCTCTTTTTACTGGGCATCGTTCGTTGGGTTAGGTACTCTTCTTAAGATTAGTAACTTACTTTGAAAAACGTTTTTCAGTACACTTTTCATCGATGTACGCAGGGCAGACTTCTCGCGGATGTTATTGCACCATGCAATGACTATTTTGTTACTTTACTTAAGCTGGTCCATAAATATGGTCCGCTATGGTGTACTGGTGCTTTTCACACACGACGCAGCTGATATCCTCTTGTCAGTGGCTGTCCACCACTTTCGTCTTATGAGACTACCACAGCCTTCGACTGTATATAGATATGCTGATCTTGAATCATGTTCGAGATCTGCGAGACGATTGTCTCAAAGAAGTTCTAAACACATTTACCCTTGAAAGTGGCGAGGAATGCTTTGAGTATGGGAGTCAATTACTTCAGAATACATCATCCTCTCGGTTTTTTTCAATTCCGAGCCGCAGTGCAACTTATCTTTATCTTTATTTGATATGCTCGAGGCGTGCTGGAAACAGCAAACATTTAAGTAACGAATAGAAACACATGTAACAGAAGTCAACAAGGAAGAGATAGGAAAGGTAGGAAAGGGAAAACAAACCAAAAAAACTATAATATTGATAACAGAGTTTAGACCCAATAACTCATACATACAGTGACCGCCAAAAAGTTGCGGACAAGCCTCCCTCCCTTTTTCATCGCTCTTTTTCAGAGGGAAAACAAGGATGAAAAAATGTAATAATTGCATGAGGTGATAGAGCTCTTCAAGATCTACAATCTACACTTTGAGTTTTTTGAGAAACATGTATTCTAAAAATTTCAAGAATTTTTTTCTAAAAAAAGTCCGAAAATGGCCGCGTCACAATGTTGCGGACAATAATTCTTCGAACGCAAAAATTTTCTTTTAAGTCCTATTTCAAAGCGGAAACACAAGTTATTTTAAGGGTAAGCATACTACCATACAGAGCTCGTCAAGAACTACACACAGATTATGGTTGCTTCCCCAAAAAACGCAAGCTTGAGTTTTATTTTGCTTTTTTCAAAAAAACAACTTCTAATTTCCTTTATCAAGCCAAATTTTCTCACACGGAAACCTGTTCAAAACATCCCAACAAAGCCGTCTGGATAAAATAGATGCTCTTTGCCATCCTCTATGCATCGGACGTGTGCTGATGAGTTTCTTGGCTGAAAATGGTCCTTGGCAGTGCTTGCACATGGCCCCACCTGCACCTCACCACTGACTTGTACCGCTTTGCAGGCTTGTAACTCGGCCTGCAGTCTATGTTTGAGCCTGCAATTAGGCTCATTCGAAAGAACGAGACTTCCTCTACAGGATGGTATGCAAATAAGTTCAGTTTGAGCAATCCCAGAGATTTGGCGGATAGGATGGAAGAGGGCAGCTTCAGTTGCAGGCTAAGCACTTTTCAGCTTAAGTTGAAGAGAGCTCCTTTCGCTACCAATTTCATCCTGGAAGTTCAAAACTGTAAATTTTCTCGTAGTAGATCCATTTCGAAGACTGTTTTGGTGTTTATAAGAGCCCTCACTCCAATCACCTCTAAGGGTGCACTTTTTCACCCCATCCGTCAAATCTCCGGAATTGCGCAAACTCAACTCATTTGCACATCTTCGTGTCCAAGAAGTCTCGTTCTTTCGAATGAGCCTAATTGCAGGTTCAAACATCGACTGCAGGCCGAGTTACAAGCCTGCAAAGCGGTACAAGTCAATGGTGAGGTGCTGGTGGGGTCATGTGCAAGGACCATTTTCAGCCAAAAAACTCATCAGCACACGTCCGATGCATAGAGGATGGCAAAGAGCATCTATTTTATCCAGACGGCTTTGTTGGGATGTTTTGAACAGGTTTCCGTGTGAGAAAATTTGGCTTGATAAAGGAAATTAGAAGTTGTTTTTTTGAAAAAAGCAAAATAAAACTCAAGCTTGCGCTTTTTGGGGAAGCAACCATAACCTGTGTGTAGTTCTTGACGAGCTCTGTATGGTAGTATGCTTACCCTTAAAATAACTTGTGTTTCCGCTTTGAAATAGGACTCAAAAGAAAATTTTTGCGTTCGAAGAATTATTGTCCGCGACATTGTGACGCGGCCATTTTCGGACTTTTTTTTAGAAAAAAATTCTTAAAATTTTTAAAATACATGTTTCTCAAAAAACTCAAGAAAAAGAGCGATGAAAAAGGGAGGGAGGCTTGTCCGCAACTTTTTGGCGGTCACTGTACATAAAGCAGCGGCTCATCATAGAGGAGCTTTAACGGCGCACTATCTTTTTTGAGAAATCTCTAGCAATTTCCGGCGTTAATGTTACGTTCCATCGCTGAACGTATTGTCGTGAATGTGTTAAACGCAAAAATAAATTGTTAGGAGGAAAAGCAGAACTGACCGCCTCACCAGGATTTGAAAGTGGGATGTCGTGCTTGGCAGACAACCCCGCTCATCACTACACCAGATGGCATGTAGTCCAAGTTCTTCGATTCCCTTGAACAAGGCAATCCTCTCCCCGCCATTTCCAAAGCCGGAAGTATACTTGGGTCCGAATCGAATAGAAATTCGATCATTCGAATAAAACATTCGAATATATTCGTATTCGAAATTCGATATTCGGAGTTCTTCCATTTTCGAATAATATTCGAAACTCGAATAATTGAGAAAACGGAATTTCGAATATAATTCGAAGCTCGAATAATCAAAGAACAGGGTTTCGAACACATTTTATTCGAATGTTTTATTCGAATGTTTATTCGAATTCGTATTCGAATGAACTCCGTATTCAGATTATTCGACTTTGTTGCAGAGCGTATTCAGATTATTCGACTTTGTTGCAGCTGTATTCAGATTATTCGACTTTGTTGCAGAGCCAATTGCTGAAATCAAGCTCACTTCGTTTTTTTATCGCAAATCTCGGTAATGCATTTTTGCAACCGTTATGACCTTTGAACTGTATGGAGGGTCTCATCTTCCGACTGCTTGACAGTAAGAAACAATATGTGGATTGTTTCCAAGTTCCGTCTGTTTTGAACCTGCGCATTCTTCGTATGTATTGTGTGTCCTTCTTGTGCCGTACAGGTTGGTAGGTGGTCCTTTATTAGTCAGTATCAACGGCCTTACCTTTCAACACTTTCGTCTTCGTCAGAGGCCAGGGGACCACCGCTTCGTCATCAGATGTCCGTACCGCAAGGAGACGGTCGCGACGGACGAATCGTTTTGTTCGTGGTCGTCCGTCGCGACCGTCTCCTTCCGGTACGGACATCTGATGACGAAGCGGTGGTTCCCTGGCCTCTGACGAAGACGAAAGCGTTGAAACGTAAGGCCGTTGACACTGACTAATAAAGGACCACCTACCAACCTGTACGGCACAAGAAGAACACACAATAAATATGTGGATTATAATTGTTGATTTCTCGATTAATGAGATTGTTCGCACTGCTATTGGCACCAAATCAGCAAAGAAGCTATCAAATTCAAGCTCATGTTCCGAGTTTACATATCAAAAGTATTTTGAAATGCCTGTTTTTCTTTCTTTGCATTGCTCATGCTTGTGGTACGCAAAGGTCCACACTGGTGAGCTCTGCTCGCATAAGTTATATTCAACTGCCTCTATTCGCTTCGCTACTTTAGAAATTTTTTGCAAATTGGTGTATTTTGAGTGGAGGAATCGCAGTCGTAGTGGAGGATTAGACGGTTTAGATCGCCGTACGCGATTTGCCAGTTACGAGATGTCTTCAAATGTAACGCCAGCTTACCACAAATGTTTAGCGCGTACAACTTAATAAAAAGATAAATGTCCTGCATTCTGTACTTTAGAACAAGTTTATGGATAAAATTTACTTTATCGATTTTGTCTTTTTGGAAAATCTTGAGCTAGGGGGGGGGTAAATGAGGATGCTGATTGAAACCGAAATCTATTTTATCGATTTCAGCTATTTTTAAAGATTTTGAGCTAGGAGTTAGTATAGGGGATACGAGGGTGCTGATTATGAATGGATCGGCTTTAGCCAGATATGTCGGCAAGTTTGAGATATGGTTGCTCCAGTTATTCGATAAATCATTCGAATATTTATTCGAAATTCGAATTCCAATGTTCGAATATATTCGTTTTCCGAATTTGTTCGGAATTCATTCATTTGAGAATTTTTGAACCTCGAATTTATTCGATATTCGTTTATTCGAAATTTTTCCTTTTCGAATTTATTCGATTTTCATTCATTCGATGAAAAATTTTCGAATTACCCAAGTATAGCCGGAAGCCTTCATAACTCTTTTGAGGGTATCGTTTCGCAGATTTTGAACATGGCTTTGTGGTCAGTGTTTCAAAACGAGTATTTCCATATACATCTTCTGTTTAAAGGCCGGGTATCCTAAAGTACTTTCCTTGATAGCTTACCCTGACCTAGACTTCACAGAGAAACTGCGAAGATTGCCCGTTATGCAAATTGGCAAACGACGCCTAACGTCGTATTCCTGATTTTTCTTGCTGTCTGGTCCGCTACTCGGCTCATTTACTACCCATTCTGGCTTCTGCCGTCGTTCTGGCAATCATTCTGGTTCGACGTCCCAAACATGAGTCAGGTGCTGTGATTTTAGGTGCTGCGCAGAATTAAGCTCTTTGACCAAAACGAAGAGTACCTCTTATATTATCTGCTTTCTTCAGTCTTCTTATCGCTTGACGAATTTCTGGCACCATCCACTAGTGCCCAGAGTAATACTGGTGATGCTCTTGTCATTACTTGTGCTTCACGTATTTTGGACCTATGTTATTCTAAAAGTAAGTTGTCAACCATATTTATTCCTTTCTTCACACTTCATACTTTCCATGAAATAATAGCGTTGATAGATAGATCGCAAAATCCGTGACAAATGGCGGAGTCGATGATGTTCGTGAAGAAAGCGATATCAGAGAAGCTGAGAAAGACAAAGACGAATAGGATCTCCTAAAGAAGCTTAGGATAGCAAGGATACCAACAGTTAGCGCTTGAGCTAAAAAATAGCCATGTGTAAATCAATGAAAATTCGTATGAAGAAAAGAGAAAATCATGGCTCTGTTCCTCAGGCTAGCACAGTAACGGTGCCAGTTAACTATGAATAAAAAAGCTGGCCCCGGCTTCCATTCTAAACTCTCTCATGATTTTTTCATGCATTCTTCCCTCTCCATTATGCTTACCAAAGAATTCTCGATGTCGTATATTTGAAAACTCACAGCCGAACTTTTACAATCATTTGCTCAAGTCGGTAGTCCCTACATGTGTTTACCTAAAATTACGTGTCCAGTTGGTCTAAATATTAGGTCGTTCCAAAAGTAATGTCGTTTTTTTTTTTCAAACGTACGCCTATCTTGTGGAACAAAGACGTGTAAGAGATTCTGGTAGCATTTGATGCAGCATTTCATTCTCTTTCTAATGGTTATATAACCACTGCACAAAAATGCAATAACCTCTCGAAAAATCATCAAAATCTGCGACCTATGCTTTTTGAGAAGGCCAAGTTTCACAATTTTTGTAAATTTTTACAACAATCCTCGGAAGGAGTCCAAGTGATGGATGGATAAAGCGAACCCTACAGGAAACAACTCAACTTTTTTCTACTCTCCAAAGCTCGCCATAATCTTTATAGAGACTTTTTGATGGAGCCACCGAATTTTAGCATTCTCGCCTCAGACACAAATGCATTAAACACCAATAAATCTTCGGATTTTGAAACTTACAAAGATGGATTATGGTTTGACACTAATTTTACAAACCAAATGAGCATTCACCGCTTCAGATTAGCAATTTTCGAAATTTCCGGGTACAGTGGGGCGCCGTGGAAAACCAGAATTATGATGATTTTATCACGGAAAACTTGATGAATCGGAAACTAAAAACAATTGATAGAAAGAGCAGAAAAAGCTGCTCGAATGACACCCGAGTAGCTTGCCGGTTGTTGTTCTGTGAGTTTAAGTTGACCAGATATGGAATTTGATGGCATTGAAAAATTGATTCCAGGAACTCTAAGAAGCAAGCTAAGGAAAGGAAAAAATGAGTCCTATAGTGAATGCTCTATCTATTACTCGCTTGTACTTCTTCGGAGAATAAGTACAAAATTTAGAAAAATGGCCGAACTTGACCATGGCAAAAAGCTGAGTCGCAGATTTTGGTGATTTTTCGAGAGTTCATTGAATATGATGCGACTAGAACCATAAAAATGAGGATGAAATGCTGCATTGAAACCTCCTAAGATCTTCTGAAAATCTTGATTCCATCAAATGTGGCGTTCATTTGAAAAAAAAAACGACATTACTTTCGGCACGACCTAATATTTCTAATTGGAGATTGGACTTGTACCATCAAACCCCCTTCTCTATTTTAGTCACTTTTGATCCGTCTATTCATTGTGCTAGGTTCCTTTTGTCTTGACCTGATCCGGACAAGAAGATTCTCAGAAAATCCACTTACCTGGGGTTTACCGCACTGATCCGAAAATCCACAGTAGGAAGCGCGAAAACGGTGAGAACAAGCCTTTCCCAAAGCCTTGCAAAAAAATTGGAAATTGGACGGTTCCCGCTAAGGCTGCGACGCGGAATCACTGCGGGACCCTACGACTTCAGCTGGGGCGGATGCCTACTCTGCCGTAGGGCAGGAATTTGAACAGGTGGAGGTTCCTGCCCCAAAGCGTAAGTTCCCGCACAGTCCGTTTTTTCTTGCTTTTTTTAGAACGTTATAGCTCCGCACTTGCGCGATTTCAAGTCTAAGGGGACCCACTTTCGCATGGCCGTGAAAACCCAGATCTCCCACCTTGTCCGTACATCTAGTTTATTTCAAGAAGGATACAAGTGGACAGAGGATTCGTTTGGTGTTTATTTATTGAATGCGCTAAATCCATAAATGGACTTCAAATCTAATAAAAATCTCGATTCCCAAATGTGGATCCGAGAAATAGCGAGGTGGAGGCACACTCCCTTGCCCATAGGTACGCAGACACTAGGACAGACAAACAGCAATGTAAGTTGAGCAAGCCAACCAGTTACTTCAATTACCACACAAAATGAAATTGAAACCAGAAGATTAGCATGATAAAAGTCAACCCATAATGAAGTCGTACCTTATTGAGCGTTGTATAGTTGATCTGGCCACGAAGAATAGCAAAGTGACAAATTATATATTGATGGAAATTTCCTTTGAGGGTTAATCAGCTCTCAACTGTACTGCAAAACCTTGAAAAAAGGACAAAAATCGAGAAGTTCTGTAAAAGTGTAGAAAATTGATTTGACAGGTTAGTCGGGTTAGCACCATCCTTGCAACTTGAATTATAACTATGGTCTAAATATAATAATTTCACTGCGTGATAAATAGGTTAAACATTATACGAATTTTCGTGAGCATTTGTCATTTGTACGAGCCAACTTGCGTGAAATATCCTCTTCTGAAGCAAAACACGGCTTTTGATAGAATATATGACCAATAAGCCTCCGCCAACTGATATCGAACTGAAATAAGACATTCGCTTTTAGGTTCATGTATTAGGGTGAACGGTAAAAAATGGGACACCTTGAGAATAATTGCAGATTTCTCAAGGAATAAAAGTGACTGAACTCTCCAATTTTGATGGATATTAGAATAAATTATTCTCTTTCAGATAGCACCTATATAAGGTCATTTAAATAATTGATAATTTTTATAATTGCTAAAATGCAAAGTTAGTTACTTCGAGAAATTATGAAGTTTGAGCAGTATCGGCGCAGTGAAACATGTGAGACCACCCAAAGTACCACTGCTGGAGTGAGTGGTGGGACAGTCACCAAACCCACGACGGCTTGGTGGCTTTAATTCTCAATGTCAGGAGATATGCCCATTAACAGCTTCGAGAACAAAGATACGCGTTATTCAATTCTTTGCAGGTAAACGCATGATTTCTAGGTATCATCTGATAGAGCTTTTTACGCTCTATCCATCCATATGCAGTTTACGTCAGATTTTATCTATCTTCGGTTAATATAGGGCAAAACATGATTTTTTGGTCTTTTGTTGCGCCAAAAATAGCTATTTTTCAGGATTTTTCGATTTTTTTTCTGAAATTGAAAGGAAATCTCATGCATTTAACACATCATTCGAAAGAGCACGAAGAGCTCTTTCGAATGGTATGTCATTTGCTTTACGACTTTACGGTATAACAGCGCAAGATTGAGGATTGTCCAAAAAACCCTGTTCGAGTTCTTCACGGCGCCACGTGTAGGGTAGTGGAAGAGGAGCGTTAACGCGTTGTCAGAATAATAAGCGAAGGTCGCCCATGTGAGCGACGTTTAAGTTGCTGCTTACTTGCTGTTGCCAGAAACAAAAAATTATAAAATGTAATGAAAATCAAGCTGTCCCATTTTTTACCGTTCACCCTAATAACATGAATCCACTTGTAGACAATTATGAGAGTCAGTAGCCAAAATAAAAGTGTGACATATGGAATTATCGAGCAAGAAGATGTGCTCTGACGTGATGGTTACACAACATGCTTTAGGTCCTTTTTAACTACACCATCACATTTGCTAGTACGTTCCGTTCAGGAGCCGAATTATTTCTACGATTTTTAGGCAGGATAGTTTATTTCTCACAGATTGCAATTAACACCTGTCTGCTAAAATAGCAACAAGTACATTTTTTTCATCTTTTAACTATTTTAGGTCTTTGAATAGAATACTATACGCGCTAAGGCAGATTAGTGCAAGTTTTCTGTAAAAGTACTTCAGTAGTAGAAAGAGGTAGACGTAAGAGTGCAAACAGATGGATGGAACGTACTTTTTTCATAGATGTGATTATTCAAGAAATGCGATACCGATAATTCCATGCAGTGGGAGGAGATACATATTCGTTACCTTGTAAACTAGCATGATACTCCCACATCTACTTGCGTTTATTAAGATCGCTTTTCATTATATCATAGCCATAACTCCTTAAAATCTTTGTTCTAGTCAAAGAATTCAAATGCTTAGCTTTTATATAAGAACGATAGTGTAAATGTAATCAACCTTGGTAAAAGGTGAATCACAGATTCTTTACCAATTTGATTCAATTTTTTAAATTATTTTCAATCAGAAATCCTTTATTAATTTGATACACAACTGTTGCACCTTTCCCCAACTTCAACGAAATCACTTTTTCCTTTACTTTTGAAGAGCAAAAATCTTGCGCTCTGCTAGAAAGCTTGAATCAAAATTTCTTGTAGGCGTACCGTTGCGACACAAGCTAATGGAAAATTGCTCAGAAGTGGTTTATATAGATCGGTTCATAATTGTACGAACACCCCTATCTTGCCGTTTCCCTGACTGTTTAAAAGAAATGCAAAACCTTTGGTACCACGTGAAAGAGCGTAATCGAAACAGTATACGCGCTACAAAAATGGAAATCGGTGTCATTTTTGAGCAAGCATTGTGCGCCAAACACATTTTTGACCGGTTCATATTTATACAAACACCTCAATCAGAGCTCCTTCTTCGCTTAACGCTGCAATCTTTGATATTAGAATTTTCATGTAAGGCTACGATCTCAAATCCTGAGGCAACCAACGCGTTGAACCTAATAAAGTTTGAAAAGGAGAGCTTTACTCTACTTTCATTGCTCGAAATGACTGCGCACCAAGTCGGGTCCAAAAATGCTTGGTTTATTAGAATTTTAAACCTTTATTCAGCTCATACGATTGAGGGATGAGGGATCAATAAACGTGCTGTCCAACGCTCGAAAATATTGATGTAGTCCTAGTTGCCAATCCAGTCCCAAACTCACCATGGGGCTGGCACACTTTTGAGCCTCAAAACTCGACTTCCGCAACCGCAAAGTTCTGCAATAATGTAAGCTCATCGCGGACATGATTTTTTATAGAATTTAGTAAATTTTGTATTTTGTTCAAGAAAATCAAACTTAGGGCACTTTGTTTCCACCACACACTCTACATACAATGAAAA